GATGAACCTGATTGAGTTTCATCACGTTTAGCTAATTGTAAATAAATACTTCGTAAAAGTTCAATCATACTAAAAGGAAATGGAATTTATGTGTGTGAACAAAATTTTTTTGTATTAATAACGAACATGTCAGCGTTTGTGGATGATTCAATTAATTTTTCGATTAGTTCATGTGTTATATCGAGTAATGCTTCCGATGATATATTATCGAGCTGAATACAAAAGAAACAAAAAGGAAGAAAAATATAGAAGAAAAGACATTATTTATTTTTTTACATAAATAATCATAAGACCAACAATCTTTGTAAATACGAGATGATGAACAGTAGATGTTGATGATGTAATAACAATTTGAATAGTTTTTTTCATAAATGTTGGAAGAATGGTAGAATCATCAGTTTCGTCAAGACATTCTACAATTAAAACAAAAGATTTTTTCTTATTGTAAATAAAATTTTTTCAACCATTTCTAATCGAATAAGACGTTTTTCTTGAAAACGCTCATGAAAGAAATTATTTGTTTCTCTTTTTTGCGTTCAAAATATGTACAAACTTCAACAGTTTTCAAACTGATTTATCAAATCATTTTTTATATTACCTTTTAAATATTGTTTAAAAATATCAAATGGTCGAGAATCTGCACTATTTGCATCGATGGATGATCGAAATGTATTGATAAACTAAATGAAAAAAGATTCGTTTTTTTTTTCTTTTCAAAAGCATAATCGAATATTTATTTGTTCCACCTTATCAAAATGATCACTAGTATTTATTGTTGAATTGGTCGTTTTTAGACGTTTTGACATTGTACAATTATTATCAATTTGTGTTCTTTTCATCTGAAGAAATGCACAAGAACTAAATATCGAAGAAACTATCTTGTTTTATTTCTCTTGTGAACACATGTGCATGAAATACATCAGAAATAGATCTTAAATGTAGCGGATTAATAAAATAAAGTCTTTCAAAACTTTCTCCATAAAACTCTCATCTTTATTTATAAATCATTCAATAATTATTTCTGATTCTATTGGTTTTGGATCACACCATACAAGCCAATGTTGAATATCATTAGTTAATTAATATAGAAAAGCATTTTGGTGTTGATAGTAGTTCTTTAATTAAATTTACATTTAGAATAGTTATACGTTTTTGACTAGATTTATCCAAATCAACATCTCATTTAAGATAATTTATACGAATAAAATCATTGATTGATCTAAATTCTGTCGACATCAAGTCAAAATGGATTTTTTTTGTCCATTTTCAAACCATTCAAATGTTTGTTAACTAAATGCATAAAACACAAATGATAGAAAAAACAGAAAAAAATTATTATTAAAGCGATTCGTACGCCATCTTGTTTCACGATTGCATAAGCGCGATATACAAAACGTCAGCTGATTTGTGTGATCGTTATAATTTTCTAGTTTATGTATTATTTTTTCATTTAATGATTCGTAGTACAACTCAATCATGTTATTATCAACAAAGGAATAGATGAAAGTTGTCCGGTTAATTATGCATAACGAAAACTCAGAAAACACTCATTTAAAAGTGAGGTGAACGAAAATACAGTTAGCACTGAACTCGACTTTTATTTCTGCGAATTTGCTTTCGACTGTGTTGGATCTTGAATTGATTGCCTTAGATACAGAATGTCATTTTCTACCAAATGATACCAATTTCAATAATCGTTATTCGGAAAAAAAGTTACATTTTGACCTGAGTTGTCAGATTTTCGACGATGTTTAGATAGTGAATCTGACTTTTTCTTGTCTGGATTCGTATTCTGACTTGTATTGACTCTGTAAATGTTAGTATTAGACGCAGAATTCTCTTCTGTATCGAATGGTATCGATTTCAATAGGAGCTATGGAACGAACTGTGAAACTTTTAAAATAAACATTTTTTGAGTTTGTGCATGCTAAACGTTCTTCTAATACAATACATTCATGATATATTTGCGTTTAGACGTTCATGTTATGGTTTCTTTTCCGTCTTTCTCTTCGGACAATGTATGTATTACAATCCTACACGTACCTAGGTTATATCTGGTCTGCGACCGTAAAACTTAGTAAAATGTTGACTTTTTTTCTTGTTGTAATTTTTTCTCATTAAACCGTTGGAAAAAGAGTTGGAAGTTGCCATTGCTTGTATTTATATTAATCTGTGTTTAAGTTCAAGCGAATTGCTCGAGCCATCATTCTTCTTATGACATTTGCTTGTTTTATGTTCTCTGTATTTTCCTTTCCTCTAGTGATTTTTTGTCTCTTCTAGACTTCCTACTCACTCACTTCCCTTCGTCAGTCATTGTCCTTTTGATATCTTTCTATTCTCATTTTCGCTCTTGTTCTGCGCTCTCTCTCTCATGTTTTTTGTGTACTTCATTGCAACCGCTTCTAGTTTTCACTTTTCTGTATGGATTATATTGTTATTGTCGCCTAGGCACAGTCAAATTCTGGTTCGCTCTGCTGGTTTTTGTACTATCTGTTGTCAAGTTTCTTTTGTTTCCCTCTTGTTTTGCAATTCATCTCTATCTTTAGCAAACTGAATGCTTTCTGGATGAGATTTTGTTGCTACAGTAAATGAGATTAATTGCTAAATGACACCATTTTAATAAAAGTTCGAGAAAAATACAACATAATTAAAAAGAGGAGTCATCGGAGCTAAAAAATTTGTAATCATAGCACATCTTTATACATGTGATATGGAATAGATCCAACACTCTGATCTTTGTTTTGTCTCTAGGAAAACTCATAAATTTCCATATGATATTCAATGCATAGATTTCGTGCGAATAACTGTCCTATAAAACCGAGTCCGCCTTGGCATAGTTGGGTATGGGTGGGTATCGGCGAGGAGAAGATTATCAAGCACTCACACCTACAACCACACCTATATCCACATCAGAGATGGAACCGGACAGACTTTTTGTGTCGGATCCGGTCCGGTTGGATTTCGACCTTTTCATGTTTGAAGCCAAACTGGCAAAAATCTGGCAAAATCAAATGGACACACAATAGCTACTTCGTTGAGATAATGACGAAAAACGAATTTTGTAAATGGCATGTAAGAGTTCTAACTGAAAATCAAAATCTAGAAAAAACGCATCTTCTTCATATTGTGTTGGAAGATATTTTGACTTTGAAGTCAGATCTGTAAAAAATATTATTAGACTTCATAAACCTGTTTGTTAATCTTTATTTACAAAAAAGAATGTAGTAAATTCAATAATGATACAATGAGAAACAATTTTTTCCTATTTTGTTTCAAAGTAACTATTCAAATAGAACAAAATATGTAACTGTACAAACTGATTTTAACTATACACCGAGAAGAAGAGAAAAATAAAGAACTGAATTGATTTTTAAACCAAAGTAACAAGTTTTTTCCAGCCAGTAACTGACGTAGGCCACATGTTGTTGATATATACCTCTTTGAGAACGACCAGAGCTTCTACTGTATCAGGATCGAGCAAACTACGTTGTTCTGTAACAATCTGCCCCGCAATGGAAAAATGACGTTCACTTTCAGCCGATGACGCTGGAATAACAAGAAGCGACTTGGCAATATTGGCAAGCAAACCAATAGTATCCTTCTGAACCTTCCAAAACGAAAGTGGATTATTGCTGTAATCAGAATCAAGTTGAAGGTTTTCGTAAACTTGCATTTGACGGTCAAGTTCGATTGTCCACGCACGTTTAGTTGATAATACAGTGGGAGATGAGGATGCGATCTTTTGACGAAAACCGGCAAAAGGATCTTGTTTGACTCGTTTCGACAGCAGTGTATTAGTCGATGCTGAAGTTGATTGGGTTGTAGAACTTAAAATTTCATCTGATTGATCGAATAAATCCGTGGCCAAAACATGAACACCTTTTCGCACAGCCTTTTTCTGTCTATCTAAATATCCGAGATCATTGACAAATGAAAAACTTTTGAATGAAGGATTGAGATAGGAAGCGGCCCAATGAAGCTCGGTGATTGACGGTGCAAATTTCTCTTCCAAACTGTTCAATAATTGGATTTTGAGTTCGGCAATAATAGATGGATCATTCTTATTTGGCTGAACATAGTTTTGCATCATGTAATAACTCGGTACGACATTCTGAAGTGTCGGAATAGTGGCAGATTCGAGTGAATCGAAAATTCGTGAAAACGGTTTCATAAGATCAGCAACAGCAGCCAGAGATGGAACCGGTACCGGTCTGGACTTTGGACCGACCGGTCTGGTCCGTCGAAACCGCCTGATATCGGTCTATATTTTTCACTTTCCCGCTCTATGATCGTAATCATATGAAAAAACAACTGGCACCAAGACAAGTTTCACTGATCACACAGGAATTTATTTAAAAAACAATTTTCAAAATACCCATCAGTGAGACTATTGTTATCAACGGGGAAACATTATGTCAATATGCGCGAAAGTACGAAGGTAGCCCGTAAAAGAGTTCACTATGAAACAAGGCTTCATTTCAAGCCTTAGTCTGTTGTCTGTAGATCGATATTTTGTCGGTAGGTCGGTTTTTCTTTTATAAACTGACGCATCATCAGCATCCTGTTTAGTACCGATAGGCTAGTTTTGCCCGGTAGACCGGTCAGATCAACTTTTTTCGATAAATCGATTTCGGTCGCTGAACCGGTGTAGACCGGTTTTACCGATAGACCGGCCGGTCCGATCCGGTCTGAAAAAAACTAGACCGGTTCCATCTCTGGGTGTGGGTGTGAGATGTGGGTGGGGTGTAGATGAAGAGAACACCCACACCCCCACATCCAACCCTCTTAACCCATGTAAAAAATTAGGGTAATAATGCGATTTAAATAGATTAAAAAATGATTATAACCAAAAATAACCGTAAAAATCAAAATTTCATTGATTTTTCTGTTAAATTTCGATTATAATCAATTAAAAATTGTGGAAAAAACATAGATTTTAATCGGTTTTTCTTCATGATAAATGAAAAGATCTTTAACCAATTTACTTCCAATTGCATCAATTCTAATCAATTTTTTTCATCAATTTTTAATCGATTATAATCGATTACCAAATGATTAAAGTCGATTAAAAGCATATGATTTTAATCGATTTTGATCTGATCTTTATCTTACTTTTTTTTACATGGGGAGTGTTCAGCAATGTCGAAAATTGTATTGGATAGCTAATATAACCAAACTGCTTCTAAGTAAAGTTCAAGATTATAACTATAGCCGAAAGCTATAACTAGGGTTGACAGTTATAACTTTAGTTGAAAGTTATAACAATTTTAAAATTCGATCGATTTACGCTATTATGAAACCTTCCATGACATACGTTTAATTCAAAACCGTGTATGCTTGATGAATATATGTTCAAAAAAATGATGGTAATTTTCGCGTTTCGTTCGTAGCTGTTAACATAGAAAAAAAACGTAATGTTGCACAGTAAAGATGCATCGTTTCATTTATAGGCGGCCGATAACTACGAGAAAACGTAACTTGCAGACGAATACATGAAAAAAGCTCTCAGAGAATACCTATAAATACTAAGTTTTTGAAATAAAGAACAATGAAATACATTTATTTTTATTTATTCGATCAAACATATCAATTAATCAAAATAATTGCTATTTCAACTTAATTAAATCTACTCAAAAATTGAAAAAGTTAATCCAGTTAAAATGGTTGATAGTTACAACTATGATTGAAAGTTATAACTGTGATCGATAGTTATAATTGTTAGCTCTAATATGTATAGAATGAAAGAGACAAGTAGTGTCACTGGTGTTTTGTGGCAGAATGATGAAAAAGATGACCTTCGTGGGAATGGAATCGACACCTCCTGCTATCCGGGCAGTTGTCTTAAGCCAATTAGACTAGAAGGACCATCTTAATCATCGTTTAGCGTTAGTGTGATCCATCATTGACGCTAACAATAATCCAACTTATAACCATTTTAACGTTTTGCCGTTTTTCTCAACTATCAACTTTTCAAAAAACAGTTTTAACTCGTACAGTGTACAAAAGACTCATATTAGTGTGAGCCTTTAGTTTGAAAACAATAAAAATATTTGACTTATTCTTTTAACCGTGAAACAGTGAACATAATACACAAATTTTTTTTGTGAGATTGATTGGAAAAGACCAAAGCTAATCACATGTCTATTTGATAATTGGCTTTATTCAACCAACTTTTTATCTTCCCTTATTCAAAGTTAGATAATATGCATCCTGTGTTTCCCTATGTAGTAGAGACTGAAAAAGTGAAAAGACTATGCAGCAAACGTAAGAATGCTTTTCTTATTTTGTGTGGGTGCAGGGTGGATGTGGCTGTGGATGTGGATGTGGGTGTGGGTGCGGGCGCGGGTGTGGGTGCGGGTGCGGGTGTGTGAGTGTGGGTGTTCTTATTTCTCCCACACCCATACCCACACCCACACCCACACCCACACCCACACCCACACCCACACCCACACCCACACCCACACCCGCACCCACACCCACACCCACACCCACACCCACACCCACACCCACACCCACACCCACACCCACACCCACACCCACACCCACACCCACACCCACACCCACACCCACACCCACACCCACACCCAC